AAGCCAGGGGTAAGGGATGCCAGAAAACAGGGAAGTCAAAAAAACAGAATAACCAGAATCAATAACGCGCTCTCGGACAACCACAAGGGAAACCACGACAGGGCACTGAGCAGGATGAGAAGTGGGCCTAAATACCCTCCTCTGTGAAGCGGATGGCACTGGGCTGGAAATTTCATGTGTTTTAATGCCTTCGGTTAAAATTGCAATGTTATATGTGGAAATGTATGTTGTATTCGTCTGATTGTTCAGTAGAATCATTCTAGCAATTATGGGAATGAAACTACTGAACAGTCAGACCTCCCCAGTGTGAAATGTGTCTTCAATTACCAGTTGCAACAATGTTGCGAACTGGTTATTGCCAAGCTGTGCAGTGGGTCCTTTGTTCTCGGGGTGGCCGCCATTCGGGAAACGAACACGTGACGGCGGCCATTTTAAAACTCCCGAACAGCGGTGTTTTGTCGTCGAGTGTCTGGAATCCAAATCAGAACCTCGGCTAGGCGAACACCGCTGAGACCTCCATACTAACGGTATGTTCGCTTCCAAACTACCGAACGGCCCCTCGTTCGGTAGAAAGAAACAACCGAACGAGGGGATTAATGCGAACCCTCCCTAATCTCTGTAGCATTAGCCTTTCATGCAATTTGTTCCCTTATACGGTGACCGACCGCAGGGCCCTAGCTCCTGGAACCAAATTCGGCTGGTCTTTTTATTACCTCGACAGATTTCCGATATGGGTGATTTTTGGATATGTCTCTCACCCCGATCAGGGCTACCAGGGGATGTGACATTTAAAGGAGTACCCCTAGGTTCAGGGGTACATCCAGAAACTTGGGGAATTTGTGTACTGTATAAGGGGATTATGAGTCAGGCTAAGGGGAGGAGATGTGTGGGAGGGTACTCGAGTATGATTGGGCACTGTAGTAATTATTGTAAATCCCTGCCTTGCATGGGAGCATGCTTTATAAGGCCACTGTGTGAATAAAAGTTTAGTTCTGCTCCTGATGCTGTGTGTCGTCCAGTCATTGGGATTGCTGTTGGGATATTGCTATTTTATTTTACCTGCTGGAAACCTTGCCTTATGGATTTATAAATACTTGTTCCTGAGCCTCACTGGGATCTTAAGTGGAGATAACTTGTGGAATACTAGATCTCCGCTACACTCTAGGTCTGATAGGCTGTAATCGGCCTTTGACCCCAAAGGCAGTTACCAGGTTTCCATTTGCATAATTGCTGCTCAGCACAAACTCTCCTGTGGATTTGATCGCTGCTCGGCACAACTTTTCCTGTCAGGACAGTAATGTTGCTCGGCACAACTTTTCCTGTCAGAACAGTAAATGTCATTAATCACATTTTTTAATGCAGATGAATACGTGACACCTTTTTCCTACATGAGGCCCCTTTCCTTCATTTTCATCTGTAAATACTGTACAAAAGTATTCATTGAGGCAGTCAGCTAGACCTTTATCCTCTTCTACATACCTTCCTTCTTTTGTTTTTTAATCTACTAATCCTGGTTTTACTTTCGCTTTCTCATTTATGTATCTAAAAAACATTTGTCCCTTTTTTTTTTTTTTTTTTTACTGACTGTGCTATTTTCTCTTGTGTGTGATTTAGAAGCTCTTATTATTATTATTGCCATTTATATTGCGCCAACAGATTCCGTAGCGCTTATAACTTAGCTTCTTTCTGCCTAATCTTATAGATAATTTTTTATAGTTACTAAATGCTAACTTTTAGTTTTTTACTATTTTGGCCACATCTGCGGAGTACCACAGTGGTTTCTTTATTTTTTTGCTTTTACTGACAAGCCTAATGCAATTTTCTGTTGCCTTCAACAGTCCAACTTTTAAATAACCCCATTTCTTTTGGACTCGATTTAAATTGCTCCAGTCTGATGGCGACTATTTTACACATATTCTAAGTTTAGAAAAATCTGTTTTCTTAAAGGACCACTATAGTGCCAGGAAAACATACTCGTTTTCCAGGCACTATAGTGCCCTGAGGGTGCCCCCACCCTCAGGGACCCCCTCCCGCCCGGCTCTGGAAAGGGAAAGGGTTAAAAACTTACCTTTTTTCCAGCGCTGGGCGGGGAGCTCTCTGCCTCCTCTCCTCCTCCGATCCTCCTCCTGGGCTGAATGCGCACGCGCGGCAAGAGCTGCGCGCGCATTCAGCCCGTCGCATAGGAAAGCATTTACAATGCTTTCCTATGGACGCTTGCGTGCTCTCACTGTGAAAAATCACAGTGAGAAGCACGCAAGCGCCTCTAGTGGCTGTCAATGAGACAGCCACTAGAGGATTAGGGGGAAGGCTTAACCCATTGATAAACATAGCAGTTTCTCTGAAACTGCTATGTTTATTAAAAAATGGGTTAACCCTAGCTGGACCAGGCACCCAGACCACTTCATTAAGCTGAAGTGGTCTGGGTGCCTAGAGTGGTCCTTTAAAGTCTAAAACTCATTAGGAGTCAAACATGGCTATAAGAGATGTGCAGGAACATGGCTATGGATGGCTGGTGAGAGGAACATGACGGCAAGGGACATACAAGGCCTGAAATAGAGCACAGGGTGTTGGGTGGGCTAGGAATGTAGCATTATAGTAGTGTTGAGTTAAGCTCCTTAATTGAGCCTCTTTTTTGGGGAAACAAAATAAATATTGTCCTGTTTATTGTGTTGAAATATACCTTATTGTTTACAGTAACAAGAACGCTAATATATGCGGTTTTAGATTGTAACAAACATATTTAACGTTGCTGATCCATGGCCAGCAGTAAAACCTACAGCCTTTATATTGAGATGCTGTGCATTTTCATTATACATTGTATCTGCTGTCCTGGTTGGAATGCTCGAAGTGTTATTCAAACTTTATTTTGTATAAAACAAGCAGTTTGGAACACAGGAGAAGCTAACTCCCAATTGTGTGGGTTTTTACATCCCAAACCACCACTTTTACCCATTTTAGACATCTCCCCGGGGGACTGTGTGGAAATATCTTTCCATGTCAATCTCTTAGAGGAAAAACAAAGCACTCCTTCAGTTTTTTTTTTTTTGTTTTTTTTTCTTATTTGACTAAGGGACAGTTCATCTCATGCTGCAATAAGCTTGAGAAGGCTTTTGAAATTTTTCCACTAGCCTCAGCCAAACCAGTTGTTGAAAAGAGGGATAAACAGTCACGCTGTCAGAAATCTGACTTTCCAAGGGAAAATAAAAACCTAGTCCAGGCAAAGAGTGTTTCCTGTAAGAGCTGCCAGCCATTAGTGCTGTGTGTGTTGCTGTGAATGTACTGTGTTCGCTCTGCGGTAATCTGTCTGTGTCGGAATGTGGCTGGGCAGGCTTTGCTGAAGTCAGATCTGGACAGCAGCCTGGGAAATCCCTTTGCCTGCCATGGAAGGAAACCCCAGACTTCAGTCATACTCGCCCCACCTCCCTTCCTCTGTACAGAACTCTGTGCATGGGGACAATAAAGCAGGGAATCCTGAGGAAATGGCTCATTGTTTTTAGCCTATTCCTAGTGATTTTTTTATTTTATTTATTTTTTAAAGAAGGCCTGACATTTTAGTAAAGTCATAAATTATTGGATGCAACAGAGCATGTGGAACAAATACTAATCTGGGCAATAAATGCAAATTGAATCAATAAATAGATCTCTGGCACTTTTTCACAGGCATTAAAGCATAATGACAATCCTAAAATGTAGATTAACGCATACAAATATTTAGAGAGGGGCCATCTATATGAAGTCACTAGTTGCTCAGTTTCTTTGGTTATGTATTCTGTGAACTGCTTAGACTTATAGAATTTGCTTTAGGGCATGTGTATTTTGTTTTGTTTAAACACATACCAGGCATTTTTCCTAGTATTTTTTTTTTTTTTTCGTACTCTCTTTATGCAGCTATTAACTGAAAGCTGGCACTCCCAACCTTTTGCATGAGTGTATAGTTTCCAAATACACAGCAAAACAAAGCATGCTCATGCTGTCGTTTTACAAATTTCCTTGAAAATTTGTATTGTAACTAAAACATAAAGGGACGACACTCCAAGCTGGAGCAGACACATTCTTTTTAAAATGCATTTTCACCTGCTCTGAAGAGTGAGTTCTAAAATTAGCTCTGCAGCTAATGCAACAAAAAGGTAGGGAAGTGAGTTTAGTAACACCCTGTTGCCTCCTTTTTTCAGAAAAGAAAACAGAAGACCAGTGGCATAACTATAAGGGGTCAGACTGTGCAGCTGCCTGGCCGCAAATATCAGGGGTTACGCCACTGCTGAAGACCACCAACAACATTTCATTTTGGCTTAACCCCTTGAGTGTTGTTTTTATGGTAGTATGGCCTGTTCAAGCAGGGATCAGACACAGGGCCAGATTAAGAGCCCAGTGGGCTAGGTGCTGACAATTATGATGGGCCTAATTACAAAATCATATCGACCAAAAACACTAAAGCAGTCGTACCTCCCAAGCGTCATGTATCTGATGGAGATGGTCCTGGAGGGAAACTCATAGGATGCATCTATGAGAAAACACATACACTATGCTAATCTCACGCTTTCATCTTTCAAGTAAATCCATACACCCTAACCGCAGTGTCCAGTAAAGCAGGAAGTCTATGGACAGGGTAAAAGGGTGGGCCACTGACGCAAATCACACAACTAGAACTGCCGAAAGGAGCGAACATAGCCAAAAAGGGGGCATGTCTGTGTCCCCATGGCTCCCAGTGTCCCCATGTCACTAGGACACTAGGGGACAATGAGAGACATGGGGACACTGAGACATGGGGACACTGGGTGACTTTGAGACACTGGGAGACATGGGGCACTGAGACACTGTGATACATAGGGGACACTGGAGACTTGATAAAGACCTGGGTACAGGTCAAAACGCTGCAGTGTCCAATAAACCTGTTTAAATCTATCACAGTGAGTGCCTGATATGTTTTCTTTTATACTAGGGGACATTGAGACTCTGGGAGACATTGCGAGGGACACTGGGAGACTAAGGTTTGTATCCCCATGTCTCCCAGTGTCCCCATGTCTCCCAGTGTCCCCATGACACTAGGGGACCCTTGAGACACCAGGGACACTGGGAGACATGGGGACACTGGGAGACTAGGGGCCACTGGGAGACGTGAGGCCACTGTGTTCCTAGTGTCTCAGGATCCCCATGTCTCTGTGTCCCAATATCTGTGTCCCAAAGTCTCTCACCGCCCCCATCTCTCACAGTTTTCCCTAGTGTCTCAATATCCCCAGGTCTCCCAGTGCCCCCTAATGTCTCCCTGCAGCCTTTACCCTCATTCGTCACTTAATCCCCCATCCCTCACTTTCCTGATCTGTTGGCTGTTGGCTTCTTATCTCTGCCTCTCTCCACACAAACAGCAGCCCCTACTGCCCGGCGCTGGTATTGCAGAATAATCTCTATTTATACTGAGACTGACATTTGTATTCCTGGTATTACTGCAATACCAGCACCGGCTAAGCAGCCTCATATACCTGAGAAATACCTGGCAATTCTAAGAGTACTGTGTTAAAAAAAAAAAAAAAATTCAAATATTTTTTTATTTATTATTTAAATCAATGTGCCTATTCCATGGGCTTGGGTCTGGAGCTGCAGCTCCATCAGCTCCTATGTTAATCCGACCCTTCAGGTAGGTCAAATTTATACTTTACTGAGGTGCTAATTTGTGAGTGAGGCAGTGCTCATCCCAAAGTGTCTGGTTATTAAAAAAAATCATGTGGAACAGGCTGGACTTGCCAAGATAAGGGCGAAGACCTCTTTACCGTCAGACTGTGAACTGTGCTTTATGGATTTGGGAAAGGCTGGTGGGCATTAAGGAAGCATCACAAATGACAGAGCTTTTGTCACTGGCAATGTTAATAATAGGTGGTGAAAAAAGGCACGTCCACTGACGGTTTGTTAACCTGGCATCAAGCTCCCCAGGCCTGCAGAGAGCGCTGATGAAGTTCTAGTGCTATATAGTTCTAGTGCTCTTTGCACATTACATAGTTACGTAGCTGAAAAGAGACTTGCATCCATCAAGTTCAGCCTTCCTCACATTTATTTTTTGCTGTTGATCCAAAAGAAGGCAAAAAAAAACAGTTTGAAGCATAATTTTGCAACAAGCTAGGAAAAAAATTCCTTCTTGACCCCAGAATGGCAGCAGATTTATCCTTGGATCAAGCAGTTATTACCCTACATTGAAAGATTATATCCTTGAATATTCTGTTTTTGCAAGTATGCATCTAGTAGCTGTTTGAACATCTGTATGGACTCTGATAAAACCACTTGCTCACGGTGCCTAGAGAGAGATCAGCTATGCCTCACCGATGATGTCTAACAAGGCTGAAACGATCGTCTGGGGTTGCTGTATCTCTCGTGCAGAGAGAACTTGCTGGCATTTCAGATCTGGACTGCCCGTATGGGTGGGACCAGTCTGAAATGCTTCAGATATGTTCTCTCTGTAATGGCACAAGTTGAGCTAAAACCAGCTTGAGTTCAGAGCGGGGACCCACCGAAGGGCAGGCTATTTTAGCTGCTGTCGGTTCTCAGAATACTCTTGCAACCCATTTTTTTGCTCTGATAAAACCACTTCTTCAGGCAGAGAATTCCACATCCTGATTCTTCTTACAGTAAAAAAACCTTTCCTTTGCCTTAGATGAAATCTTCTTTCTTCCAGTCTAAACGCATGGCCTCGTGTCCTATGTAAAGTCCGGTTTGTGAATAGATTTCCACACAATGGTTTGTATTGGCCCCGAATATATTTGTATAATGTTATCATATGCCCTCTCAGGCGACGTTTTTCTAAACTAGTTTTAAATTTGTTAACCTTTCTTCATAGCTGATATGTTCCATTCCTTTTATTAATTTTGTAGCCTGCCTCTGCACTTTTTCTAGTGCCATAATATCCTTCTTAAGAACAGGGGCCCAAAATTGCACAGCATATTCAATATGTGGTCTTACCAGTGATTAATAAAGAGTCAAAATGATATTCTCGTCCCGAGAATGAATGCCCTTTTTCATGCATGACAATACCTTACTGGCCTTGGCCACTGCCGATTGACATTGCACATTGTTGCATAGTTTGTTGTCTACAACAATTCCCAAGTCCTTTTCGTGTGTTGTTATCCCTAATTCGCTTCCATTAAGGGTATACGTTGCTTGTGTATTCTTTACGCCGAAGTGCATAACTTTGCATTTTTCAACATTAAATTTCATCTGCCATTTGAGTGCCCAGTCCCCCAGTCTATCTAAATCCCTCTGCAGCATAGTAATATCTTGCTCACATTGTATTATTTTACAAAGTTTTGTTTCATCTGCAAACACTGAAACATGACTTTCAATGCTGTCTTCAAGATCATTTATAAACATGTTAAATAGAAGGGGTCTCAAAACAGATCCATGGGGGACACCACTGTCCAGCTTGAAAATTTACCATTAATGACAACTCTTTGTACTCTGTTTTTAAGCCAATGTTCTACCCAAGAACAAGCATTTTCATCTAGACAGATTTCTTTGAGTTTGAACACTAATCTATTGTGTGGAACTGTATCAAATGCCTTGGCAAAATCCAAATAGATCATCCACTGCAACACCCTGATCTATACTTCTACTTACTTCTTCGTAGAAAGCAATCAAGTTAGTTTGACATGACCTGTGCTTCATAAAACCGTGCTGATTTTTGCTTATAACCATGTTCTTCTCAAGGAATTCTTGAATATTATCCTTTAATAACCTTTCAAATATTTTACCAGCCACAGAAGTTAAGCTCCCAGGTCTATAATTTCCAGGCAAGGATTTCGAACCCTTTTTGACTATAGGAACCACATCTGCCTTCCTCCAATCCAAGAAAAGAATCTTGAAAGATTAAAAACAGAGGTTCACTTCTTTCTACACTTAGTTCCTTAAGTACACGTGGATGGATACCATCAGGCCCTGGAGCTTTGTTTATATTAACTTTCTTTAGTTGTTGCAGCATCTTGTCTTGAGTTAACCAATTACAAATATTCTGCAAGTTTTTAGTAGCAATCATTTGCACATCTATTGCCATGGGTTCTTCCTTAATATATACGGAGGAGAAATAGTTATTTAAAATTTCTGCCTTTTCCTGATCTTCATTAACTAACACCCCTGTTTCATTTTTTAGTGTACCTACACTTTAATTTTTTTATTTTTTTTTTAGAATTTATGTACTTAAAAAATGCTTTGGGATTGGTTTTGCTCTCTTTAGCTATCAATTTTTCATTTTGAAGTTTAGCAAGTCTAATTGCCTTTTTGCATGCATTATTTGCTTCATTATAGCTTTTATAAGATGCATCTGATTTGTCTGATTTAAATGCCCTTTTCTTATTTTTAATCTCTTGTTTTACTTCTCTACTAAGCCACATTGGTTTTAATTTGTTTCTTTTATATTTATTTCCCAATGGTACATACTGAGAAATGTACCTTTCTAATATTTGTTGGAAGATGATCCATTTATCATTCTTTTCACTAAAGAGTTTATGCTAGTCAATATATTGTAAAGCTTTCCTTAACTTATTGTAATTGGCCTTTTTAAATTATATGTTTTAGTATACCCCATGTGCTTTTGTTTTTTTGAGTTTATTTCAAAGGACACTATATTGTGATCACTATTTCCCAAGTGCTCACCTACTTGAATGTTGGTCAAAAGATCAACGGTGTTTGTTAAAACCAGGTCCAGACAAGCGTCCATTCTAGTTGGTGCTTGTACAAGTTGTGACATGAAGGTGTCATTTAACAAGTTTAAAAACCTAATTCCCTTTGCTGAGCTACTAGTCCCTCTGTCCCAATTTATGTCCGGGTAATTTAAAATCTCCAATAATTAAAGTGTTACCCAGATTTGCAGCTTTCTCAATTTGCTTAAACAGCTGTTGTTCCTTGTCAATCAGTGGCGTACATACCAGGGTCGCAGGGGTCGCGGCTGCGACCGGGCCCGGCCCACCAGGGGGCCCGGCCGGCTCTGCGACCCGGTATGTAGCCACAGGGCCAGCCTCTTCTCCTGGGGGGCCCAGGAGGCGGCCACCCCAGGCCCCCCGAGGCCCCCCGAGGCTGGCCCCGGCGGGCGGGCTGTCTGGGCGGCCGGCGCGCGAGGGAGCACTTTACACTGTGTGCTTCCTCTTCAGCTCCCTCGCGCACCGCACTGATGCCGGAGTCGGAAGATGACGCGGCGCGCGAGGGAGCTGAAGAGGAAGCACACAGTGTAAAGTGCTCCCTCGCGCGCCGGCCGCCCACCCAGTGACCAGGAGCCCAGCAGCACCACTGGACCCCAGGGAATCCCCCCAGCACTCCAAAAGGTAAGGAGGCTGGGGGGATTAAATTTTTAAAAAAAGTGTGTGTGTGTTAGTGTATGTGTGAGTGTATGTGTTAGTGTGTGTTACTGTGTGTGTGTTTGTGTGTTAGTGTATGTGTATGTTAGTGTGTGTGTGTGTGTGTGTTAGTGTATATGTGTGTGTGTTAGTGTATGTGTGTTAGTGTATGTATTAGTGTGTGTTTGTGTATGTGTATGTTAGTGTATGTGTGTGTTTGTGTGTTAGTGTGTGTATGTGTGTGTATGTGTTAGTGTGTGTGTGTGTTAGTGAATGTGTCTGTGTGTGTCAGTGAGTGTGTCTGTTATTGGGTGTGTGTCTGCTAGTGAGTGTGTTACTGTGTGTGTTACTGAGTGTGTTTGAGGTCTGTTAGTGAGTGTGTGTTTGTCAGTGAAAGTGTATGTTTTGTAAGTGAGTGTGTATGTATGTCTGTCGCTGAGTGTGTCTCTGTCAGTAAATGTGTGTGTCTGTTAGCTAGTGTGTATGTGTCTGTTCGTGAGAGTGTGTGTGTGTGTGTGTCTTCAGCATTTACCTTTCTCCAGCGTCGGACTCCCCAGTGTCCGCCTCTCAGCTCCGAAATGCACATGCGCGGCAAGAGCGCGCGCGCATTTAAACCGCCCATAGGAAAGCATTACTCAATGCTTTCCTATGGACGTTCAGTGTCTTCTCACTGTGATTTTCACAGTGAGAATCGCGGAAGCTCCTCTAGCAGCTGTCAATGAGACAGCCACCAGAGGCTGGATTAACCCTCAGTGAAACATAGCCGTTTCTCTGAAACGGCTATGTTTTCAG